GCATTACATAGGCACGGCGCAGCGTGCAGAAAGGTAGGAACGCCACGAGAAGACGTCCTCCTTGTCTTGTGGAAGCACAAGACGATGAGACCACAGGTCAAGAGCGGAAATAAGGCTTCTAAGTGTTATTACAGAGCTTTGATCAATCATCCTAAATACCATGTCATTGCGAGCAGCCCAGATCATCCATAGCAGGGCCAATAAGACTGAAGGCCAAGCGGAGGTAGGGAGGTGGGTAGGGATATCGACATCCCAGAGGTCTGTGATGTCGTCAGACTGAGGTAAAAAACCCAGACGTTGCCAGATCCTGTTGGCAAGGGGGCATGATATGAACAGGTGGTTGGAGTCTTCTGGCAGGCTTGCGCGCCGAGGACATATATCAGAGACGATTATATGTTTGTGTGCAAGGTTGCACCTGGTGTTGAGGCGGTCCTTGAAGAGCAGCCAGGCGAATACTTTGAGCTTACGAGGTATCTTTGCAGACCAGATAAGCGGAGCATGATGGTCATGCTCTGGTTGTTCCATGATTGCGGCGTATGCATGCTTGGTGGAGAAGGCAATGCCATGTCGAAGGAACCGTTGGTCTTCCCCAGCCAAGGGCATAAAACCCTGCAAAACAGCCACAAGCGAGACAAGTTCTTGTTTTGCCGTAAGGGAGAGACGGTTACGGAGGTTAGCTTGAATACCGAAATGCAAAATGTTAGCCACTTTTACCAGCTGAAGAGTGGAGTGGGAGAATAAGTGGGGGAAGGTAGTGGCTAGGGGTTGAGGAGTCAACCAGGTATCTAGCCAAAAGTAGGTGTGTGAGCTGCTGTTTGTCAACACAAAGGTTATATTTTGGAGGGGGGAGAGCTGTTGTGAAATGGTGCGGCAAAGGAAAGAGGCTTGCGGGGGTGGGGAGACTAGAGCATTAGGGTGTTGGAGATCTAGCCATTCTAGCCAAGGGGTTTGAGTGTTGGAGAGGGCTTTTGCAGTGAATTTCATGAGGAGGCAGTTGTTTTGGACATGTAGGTTTTTTAGCCCTAAGCCACCGTATTTTTTTGGTAAACAAACATTTTTCCAAGCAATAAGACATTGGGCACCTGAGCAAGCGTCCTCTCCTGCCCAAAAAAAGCTCTCCGCAGCGAGTCCGAAGTTATTAATTGTTTTCTTTGGTATGCGGAACACAGACATGAAGTAAACAAGGATTGAGTCTAGGACGGAGGAGATGAGAATAAGCCGATCACCTTTATCAAGGAGCTTAGCACGCCAGCCAGAGAGTAGTTTCCTAGCACGTTCTAGTAGAGGATTGAAGATATTATTGAGGTGTCTGGAGGGGGCGAGAGGGAGACCTAGATAAGTTTGCGGGAAGGAGGCGCAAGAGCATCCCAGGGCGAAGGCAATGTTATTAGTCGTGGAGTCGTCGGTGTGTAGGGTGGCTAAGGTAGTTTTATCGAAGTTGATGGTGAGGCTGGTGGCAAGAGCGAAGGCAGTGAGGATGGTTTTTAGGGTAGAGGCGGCCGCCGTAGAGGCAGCGGCTACGATGAGCGTGTCATCGGCGTATTGGAGGACAGTGGGGGGTAGATGGGAGAAGATGGGGTGGTGTAGAGCGGGGTCTGAGTCTTGGATGATGAGTTGTTGAAGGAGGTCAGCAACGATGAGAAAGAGGTAGGGGGAGACTGGGTCGCCCTGCCGCAAGCCATTTTTGCATTGGATCTAGTTGCCCGGGACCCCGTTAAGAAGAATGGCCATTTTGCCGGTGCGGAGGATGTTTTGGGTCCACCGACGAAAGGTGGAGGAGAAGCCCCGTACTGCCAAATTTTTTTGTAGCGCAGGCCATGCGACCGAGTCGAAGGCTTTCCGGAAATCTAACTTGATTGCCATGGTAGTTTTTTTGCGAGAGTGGCAAGAGCTAATGAGATCAGCTGCGAAGACAAAGTTTTCGGCGATGTTTCTACCAGAAATGAAGCCTGTTTGGTTGCCATGAACTAGCATAGGGATGAAGGGTTTGAGGCGAGAAGTGATAACCTTTGCAACAACTTTGATCGGGCAGTTTTGCAGTGAGATGGGTCTAAAAGCGTCCGGGGAGGTCGGTGCATCCTTCTTAGGGATGAGAGCGATGTGGGCACGGTTTAGGCGCTCTGTGTCAGCGGTACCTTGGTGAAAATGTGAGAAGAAAGACAGAATCAGGTGTTTTACCAATGGCCAGAACGATCTGTAGAAAGTAGGCCCAAAGCCATCCGGACCCGGGATGGCTTGGGGGTTCATAGAGAAGAACGCATTTGAATTTCTTCTACTGAGAAGGGTGCATCCAGGGCATGGAGTCCAGGCACTGTGTGAGGGTAAATAGAATTTAGGTCAAAGGACCATGCTGTAGGTCCTGGGGTGCCAATTAGAGAGACAAAGAAATCTCTGAGGATTTCCGCTTTCTGGGGGTGCGCAGAGTAATCGGAGCCGTCTCGTGTGAGTGTGAAGATTTTGTTCTTACTCAGTCGTTGGGATGCCGAAATGTGGAAAAATTTGGTGTTTTCTCCTCCGTGGATAGCGCGCGAGACTTTAGCACGCCAGCGCCAGTATGTCATTTTCTCGCGGATGACACTCTTGAGCAAGGTGATGATGATATTGCGGGTGAGCGACTCTGGGTGAGATAGGGTTCTAGTCTCTTCAACTAGGTCTAAGGCTGTGATAGCAGCATGGCAGCGAGCCTCGCGAAGCTGTGTAGGGATACGAGAGCGTGCCCAGGCCTTAATACGGGCACGAGATATTTTTAGTGCAGATATGAGGGAGTCAGTAGCATTGTTTGGCGATGTGGGCTGTGGAGACCAGATTTGAGCAACAATGTTCTTGCATGGGCGGGAGCTGGCCCTAGCCGCCTCGAATTTGAAGAAGTTGGACTTAGGGATGGAGGTAGTAACGTGGATGAGGAGTGGGACGTGATCAGACGTGAAGCGGGATCGAGAGGAGAGGGAAGTGTTGGGGAACGTATCTGCCCATGCAAGGTTAAAGAAGACGCGATCTAGTCATTCTAGGGTGGGGGAGGCACGGTTGTTGGACAAAGTAAACCTACGATCGAGCAGGGGCAATTCGATGAGAGCTAGGGTATCTAGAGTTTGATTGAATGCGTTGGCTTCGGCGGAGTGGAAGGCGGGATTATTTTTCTCAGAGGGAAAACAGATAAGGTTGAAGTCGCCAGCGATGAGCCAAGGGGTGTCATCTGGTTGTGCGATGGAGGTGAGTTCGTCTAGGAAAGCTGGCTTGAGTGAGCGCGAGGAGGGAGCGTAAATGTTAGTAATGGCAATGTGGCGCGCGCAGGCGGTTGATTGGAGGATTAGTGTGGATGAAAATGTTAAGTGGGAGAAGGACACGA